GATGGTCAACCCATCCCTCCTGTGAGTTCGCCCACACATGCTAGCTCATTCCTCTGCGTCAATCTGACCCTTTCTGCCAAGTTCATCTCTGTGCACATCCGTCGGGCCGACTTTGCGGGATGGTGCCCATCGAATATGAACAAGGAAGCTTGCTTTGCGCCTACAAGTGCCTACGCCAAGCGCGTCAAGGAGATCAAGGAGGCGCTACGTGGACGGCGTAATGGGGGAATTGATGCTCACGCTGTACTGGTCACGTCGGACGAACGAAGCACCGACTGGTGGGAGGAGATTGGTGAACTCGGGCCCGAGTGGGGTTGGGTAGACCATGCCGCTGAACAAACTGTTGAGAAATATGGAAAGTGGTACGTTTTTCACCGTCTTCTGGGTTTCATGGATAGGTTCTCATGTGACGCGAAGGTACCCGGTCATCCTAGATGCCGTATTCCAGTCAATGGGTACTGGTTTTGTTGGAACGGACCACAGCACTATGTCCTTGCTTGCCCAGCGGCGAGTCGAGGACTGGAATGGGGGACTCGGCGCGGAAGTGCGCTGGGGTACTCCCAACGCTGACGACCATTAACGGCCTGAACTTTTCATGTCACATTTGGGATTTTTGGGACCTTTTAGGATATGTTATACGTGTGGGACAGGCGTTTTTTTTTGGTCAAAATTATCTAAGTTTTATCTGAATCTTGTTAGCTGTGGCTCTATTAATCACTCTTACAATGTACAGTCATCAATCACGTAATGAGACACCATCACGTGGTGAGACACCTTCCATCCTCGACCGTGAGACTGTCAGTTTCCTCCCTGCACGCCGACCTTGTAAGTGAGATAGGGCTTATGAATAAGCTGATCATGATTGTAAAGTGCGTATGAGGATGTCACGCAAATCTCGTACAAATCTTGGGCCCAAGTGGTCAAACCACTCTTCGTAGCGCGGAATATAAACTTGGATCACCACATCTCAAACTAAGTCTAAATAAGTAACCTATATACTGAGAGTCTTCCAAATGATGGCTGGAGGCTGGTTCAAACATAGAAACTCCACGCCGAGAGGACAATCACTTTGTGCAATTCATTGGTAATAAAAGAAACGTGCTTAAAGACCAAAATACGCAGATTCTAACCTAATCATCAAGCATATATGGGCAGGTAGATGTAAAGATGCTGCGTGGGTTTAGCTCGAAGTATATGCACAAGTATGGTAGGAAGTATTAAGGGAAAGTCATATGTATGCTGTGTATAATGGTAAGGTGGAACAGTTTTGTCACGAACCACTCGAATCACAGTCTCAAGCTCGCATATAAACATCACGTAGGTATTATTCAAATAATACGTGCCCCTTGAAGCCCCATTCCTACTTACGAGGCCGGTACACAGGGTGGAGCTTATAGTCTCGCGGTCGAGGACGGAAGGTGTCTCACCACGTGATGGTGTCTCATTACGTGATTGATGACTGTATATCTCGTGCCCCTTTTTCATGTGTACCCCGCCTATATGCTATCAAATATACTCCAAATTGCGTCTCTACCGCGGGCTGCGCTATGTGGTGGCCTAGTTCTGGGAACGTCACGGTCCAAATACAGAAAATTGTTTTGGATTCGCTTCATATTTTTGAACGCCAAGAAATCACAGGAGGTTCTAAAGAGGTCCAGCCTGCTGCCGGTGCCTGGTATAATTTGCAATACTAGCCTGTACCTGGATTCGCCCCTCATGGAACCTTGATGGAATACTGGTCCCATTTTTAGTCCACGGTGGATGTTTTATGTTCTTGGTTATCAAACGTACTATCGGTCTTTTTTGATACGTGTCAACCCCATAACATCAACTTGTATCCTTCCTAACTCTGCATAATATTGGCCGCGATGTCTGAACACTATGACTTGTCAAAACCGACTGACGCGCTCCTACCATTCGACCAAGATGAAGAGGAGTTTCTCCCCCGAAAAAGTAGGAAAATGCATTGGCTCCCAAAAATCTTGACAGGAGTTCTGCTTTTGTGTGCAATCTGCGTGGCAACGTGGTATTTCCTGTCGGGGCGCGTTCAGGGGCTCATTGGGATGTCTATAGACGAAAAGGCTTCAACGGAATCTCTAAGCAGCTCTAGCGTATTACTAGGCAGCAATGCGACACTTTTATTTCGAGGTGAGTTTTAGCTAAACATACATTTGTCGTGTAGCGATCCAACTCGAGCCCATAGAAAACCTATTACCATCTCATAAATACGTTACCGCTTTCACCACCGCCGGGTTCACGAATCAAGTAATGGAGGCCGTCAACTTGATATACCTAGCTACTCTTGCTGGCCGCACTCCCATCATTCCTCCGCTTTTACCCTCCCACTTTGGCAAGCTGGATACTGTCGCTCCAATGAACTTTGGAGATGTTTTTGATATCCCTCGTTTGGCAGCCAAATTAGGCTCCCCTGTGCTCGAATGGCACGAGGTCAAGTCGATTGTATATTCGAACAATAGTGGAACGGCGCCTAAGACTGAAGAGATTGGTTGCTGGAGTACTGGTGCTGGTAACAAGGCCTCTGGCGGCCGCCCCGCGATATCATTGGTTCCTGACATGCTAAATCTTGGTGCGTACAATCTATCGCCACAATGCAGTCGCGTTATACCAGCATTCTTTCAGACGTATCTTATACGCCGGTTCCATCAACCTTTACACTTAGCCATGGAGCCGAGCAAAGAGACTACGTATGGTCAATATGGGCTCTGGCTTCACTCAGCTTTCCTGAATCGCGTCAACGACAACTTGACTGGCAGCGCCCTCATATACTTCCAGCCCTCAGTGGCTCGGGCAAGAAGATGGACCCCGACGATCAGTTATTATGCTTTGATCTGCTTTACTATACAGGCGTGATGGAAACGGCACCGGCAATAGATGTAAGTCAAATGCGTTACCAGTCTCTGTGCATTCACCGACTCGAGACCTTTCAGTTTTTTGCAGACTATTCTCCGTTTTGGAGTCTTGTTGGGACACATTTACATTGGAGACCGTCTTTGTTGGAACTTGCTAATCAATATCTTCGTCGTCATTTCAGGGTGACAGAGACCAGCCCAATACCTCCAGTTGAGTATGAGCCACTCCTGAAGAACGCTCAGCTGATAAACAGTTCGACGTAGTTTATTTCGGTGCACGTACGCCGAACAGATTTTGAAGGAGGCTGCTATACAGAAAAGGATCGAGAAAAGTGCTTCGCGCCTGTTAAAGCATACGAACGACGGGTCAACGAAATAAAGCAAGGCTTACTGGCCCAACCGAACGGGGTTAACGTCACTAAGGTGCTAGTTACTTCAGATGAGCGTGATCCTAAGTGGTGGGATCAAGTCGCCGCGCTCGGTCCTGAATGGGGCTGGATAGATCATGATTCTGAACAGACAGTGCAGAAGCATAACAAATGGTGCGCATCAAATTGCGAACTATATGCGCCATATCACTTACATCGGTTCTACTCGGTAGGTTTCCCGTCATCCTGGACGCCATGTTTCAGTCGATGGGAGCCGGGTTCGTTGGTACCGAACAGAGCACTATGTCACACATAGCTCGGAAACGAGTTCAAGACTGGCAGGGTGGGTTGGGCGTCGAGGTACGATGGGGTAATCCTAATGCAGATAATCATTAGCTCGATGCTTTGAAGTGTACGGATCGGTCAATCGTAGTAGACTTTCGGTTGTTGTTTAATTTCCTAACATAAGGTTATTTGTATTTGTATATATTAGCTGTCTCAGTACTAGAAGGGCTACCATGTCTTTTTGGATCGCGAAAAACTATTAGACATCTACTCGATGCGATTTCAAACTCGGCCTCGGATTCTTCCAGTCTACTTGGTCCCATCTATTGAAGAGGTGTTTAATTTGCGTTATTGGGAACGAGCTGATGGACGTACCTGCAATAAACATATGGAAGTTTCTCGTAGTGGAGTTCCGGGTAATGTTTAGATATCTCTTCCATAATAAGTTCATATAGGATCTACGACAGGTCAAATGTCTTATTGTAAGGTAAGTACACCGACTACGTGCCTTGTACGAAGCTGGATTACAGTGCAATCCATCTGGAAGGAATCCCTCCAGTCCGTTTTCTGTTTCTCCAGCTGCCTTCCAGATGGCAGTCCATAAGTCTACGACAGGTACCCCGCGTTTCTTTCCAACGTCCACTACCGCCTCTGCGTAGGCCTTGGTATTCTCGTGGGTACGATCAGGACCGATAGGCGGATTGCGAGAGGCTAGTTCAGCGTTCCGTTGTGTGACATTGATTGGAGGTGTTGTTACTAGTAAAACGCGAGTGGTTGGGGAGTACCAGGGAGAGGTTGGTGAAGTCGACATGTCGATTATAGTGTTAATATTCTCGATGAACTTTGGTAACGGGACCTATGAGCGTGTCAAAGTAGAGTATTAGTTTAGATACACTAAGGGCGCACATGCTGAGGACTGTGTTCCAGAACCGCGTCGTTGGCACCTACAGACTAAGTATGAGGTAGAGCAACAGTTTCTTGTGCAAGGCCTACCAAACCAAACCACCAAGAGCTTCACTTTTGGTAGCGCATCTTGCAGTTCAACCTTCGCAAACAGCTAGATCAAGCCAGGGACATGAGTCAATTAATAAAGTTTCAAGTTATATCACTTGCCTCTTCGAATACGGGAATAGCCCAGTCGGTATTATATCCGGAGAGGCCGCGGTTGATAACATCAAGCTTACGACAATACACGTATGCGAGGCGTTGAACGAACCCGTCTACCCGCACGATGAGACCAGAGTCAGAGCGCAATTTAGGCGAGCGTACCGGGTTCCCACCCGCCCTGGGTCAAGGAGTCACCTAAGAGCATGATACAATCCAAAGCGTTGGCGGCCATACTGGTTTATATGGCGTGATGATCGACGAGATAAAGGACTGATGGTGTAGCTTCAGGCTTCGATACCAGTCGGTGCAGATAAACGCAGGGTCGTCGAAAAAACGGGGACACTATTGTTGTTTCTGTTAAATTTACTGAGGCCGCCTGGTGTAGTTGGTTATCACGCATGCTTCACACTGCTGACATAATCAGTCACGTGACCGCATGAGGTCTTCAGTTCGATCCTGGAGGTGGTCATTCTTTTTAGCACTGTTGCTATGCGCCATTTCCGTTGCTTGCAGCCCTGGTATTTTTATCTCATTTTATTTTATTTTCTGTCTCCCGTATGTGCATACAGAAAGGCTGGAGGTAAACAATGACAAGCTGACAGCGCCGGCGGAACACGTGACACAACGCTCCTCTTCACAGACTTGATCGTCCGCTAGCAGCATTTCGAAGATCATTATGGCTGGAGATCATGGTAAGTTAGGGCGGAATACTTGGCACAAGACTGTCTGAACCGAAACTTTACAGGAACTATCAAAGTTAGTCTAAGACTGTTTGGTTCACTCTCGAGTCCTTACGAGCATCACAGATTGACCCTGCCATTGAGCGGTGGGGGGCCATGGTACGCGAG